CTTGCCCTCGCCATATGCCCTGCCATGAGGTGGAGGTTTCTGGAGGGGACAGCCTCCCTCCCTCCGGGAGGACCATCTCCCATCCTGACCTGACGGCTGCCCTGCTGTCTTGTGAAGCTCACCTGCCTCTAAGGGTAGTTGCTGTGCCCCTGAAGGTGTTTCCCCTGCAGGTGCTGGGTGGTGGGCTGTAGACCCAGTGTCACTGGTAGCAGGGCACCCCCTTTCCCGTCCAGACTTGAGTGCAGTAGTCAAGAGCCACACTGCCAGGTTTCATTCTGCTCCACCACCGACTGTTGGCTTGCTCTTGGGGAGGGTGGGCTGAATGGGATGGGGGATGCGCGGTATAGGTTCCTTCCATGCCACTGGGTTCTGTGGGCACAGGAGGATTAGTTAGCCCTAAGCCTTCCAGGCAGAGGGGCCAAGCAGCCAGCAACGGGTAGAGGGTTCAGCTCATGAACCACAGTCCCCCTCCAACCTCCCATAGGTCCCTAGTAGGCAGTTGGACTCAGGCAGCTTGTGGAAGTTGTTTGTGTTCTGAAATAGCCAGTGGCAGGAGCTACAGCCCTGGCCTGGAGTAGCTCCGTGGCCAAAGAGCTGGAAGCTAAATTGGGCTCACACTGGCCTCATTTTACCCTGCCTCGACTAGTGCACGATGGGGAAGGTAGGCAGCACATGTCCCAAAGCCCCGGGTGAGCCCAGCTGCAGATGCAGGCTTTCGCGGGGATGAGGGCTACTGGGACACCCTGGAAAGGTGGGACCTGCGCAGCATGTGCCGCCTCCTCCTCATGGGGACAGAGATGTCACCAGCTTGCATTGCTGGCTCAGAGTGGCTGGACTGGTTTTAGGGCACTGTTTTTTCAGCTGGTGGGAGGGGTGGGAGTGTGTGTAGGCCTCCTTCCTGTGGCCCTTGTGGGAAGAGGGGCAGCATCGCAGTGGTGATGGCCTTGGGTTCTCCTCCCAGCTTCATTGCTTTTGCACTCGACCTCGAGCTACTTCCTTACCCTCTTGAAGCCTCGGATCCTCATTTGCAAAGTGGAAAAAATGATAGTGTCTTCCCAGCAGGGTTCTGTCCTCATTAAATGAGCTAGAGGCGCATAAAATGCTGAGCACACCACTTGGCACCAGGGAGCCCTCAGTAAATCACTGCGCTTTATGGTGAAGGTGACAGAGGCAGGGAGCTCTACTCCATCCCCAAACAAGTACCAGGCCCAGGGCGTGTGCAGACTCCCCTCTCCCAGTACTCTCCCAGCGGCGGCGTGGGTGGAAAGCGAAAATATTGTCTCCAGTGAATTCGGGAGCCAAGTCAAAGAGTCGCAAGTGAGCCGGGGCCACCCCCTCCTGTGAAGGCTGTTTCCCTAACCCAGGGACGGGGCGTCTCACAGGGTGTGTGCTTGGCCAGGGGATGGCCTCCATCCTGGGAGCTGGGGAAGGCTCTCCTCCTGTGGAGGCACAGCCGTGAGTGCAGGGGTCAGTACCCCAAGTTCACATAGAGACCTCCTCTCCTGCGCCTGGTTTCTGTTTTGTTGCCTCCTGAGAGAGCCATGGGGAACCTAAGGGACACACAGCAGCACTGTTGTCATTCCCTGGTTCTGGCACTGACTGGGTTGGAGCCACGATCAATTCCCATCCTGGCTACTTGGGAAGAGGGTGGACCGCCGTTGCCTCTCTGCCCCGTGGCCATGGCTATCTCTACTGCTGTTGCTGTCAGCACTGTGAGCTTCAGGGCCCTTTGGTGTGGCTCCTATGCCTGGCTGAGGAGATGGGGGAGGCCATGGGGGAAGCTCCTGAGGCTTGGTTCGTGATAACGTTGGCAAGGCTGAGGTAGGGTGCTAAGGATGCCCACTGGCCTTCTCCAGCCTTCCCACCTCCCCTGCTCCCACTGCTGGGCCTCGCCATTGTGTTGATAGCTCTTGGGTTAGGGTGTCTGCTTGACACTTTCCTAGGTGGGTCCCAAATGGTGGGTCCTATCTGGGGAGCCAGTGTGTTTCGGGGACCTGCTCTGGCATCCTGCATGGGTCCATCCTGGGGATTGAAGGCATTTGGCACTCTGGCCCCTTGCCCATTGTCCACCTTGAATGGGAGACGGGGATTAGGGATTCTGTCTGCCCCTGTATCCCAAGTCTGGAGCATGCAGTGCTCCCCCAGTGGAGAGCCCCCAGTGCAGTCCTGCCCTAGAGCACCCTGTGGGAAGCGCTCACCCCTGGTCCCAGTTCTTGCTCTATCAGACATCTGTGGAGGGCAGCCCTTCAGCAGATCGTTATCCACAAGGCCACCTGTCTCCTCTTGGCCCTTGGCCCGCTGGTTCGTTGCTTCACGTGTCGTGTGAAGTCCGACACCCAGAGTGGAACAAGAGTGTCTCACGGGTGCCCTGACCCTGCAGAACAATGGGCCCAGTCCTCCTGCCAGGGAAGATACACAACCCGAGATTGTGTTTACTTTTTCCCTTGGCAGCAACCTTATGTTTGTTGATTCGTGGTTGGCTAAAACCACCGACTTTCCCCTTTGGTTCTCTACTGCTCTTTTCTGATCCAAAGTGTCAGAGTTGAAAATTTAGAAGACTTACATCTTCATAATTTTCGTCTGTATTTTCTTTTCTTCTTCTGCTTTTTTTTTTTTTTTTTTGAGTTAGGGTCTTGATACATGTGTAGTCCAGACTGGCCTTGAACTCCCGGTGATTCTCCTGACTCAGCCTCCCTTGCTGGGGGTTACAGGTGTGGACCCCCCGAGCCCATCTGGTCTGTATATTCTAGCCATGTGATTGTGAGTCTTAGTGTGGCCATTGCTCTGCTAGTGATCTTTTCCCATCCCACACTCTTCCTAAATTTTACATCTTCTACACGTAAGATTGGGAAACTATATCAACATTCTGATAAAAATGTGAGCATCCGCGCCTCGGAGCTAGAGTGATGGAGACCTCAGTGTGGACCGATAATGACCAGTACTGATTGGGTCTGCCGCTTGTCCTCCTTTGAAAGGGCCCAGGCAGCCCTGGCCCCACCCTACATTTCTCTGTCTCCTCCACAAGAGTATCTTTAAGCCCATCTGCGACTGCCTTACGGAAATCTAGATGGACTGCATTCCACAGGACTTCATGGCTGGGCAGAAGGGGACATGCACTTGGAGGCCAGCATGACCTGTCCCCGGTGAATCTTTACGAGTTTCTTGTTCCCATCGCTACGCTGAGTGTTCCCGTCATCCTCTTCCCCATTCAGAGGTTTCCGAGAGCTCAGGTTTGCTTTCCAGCTTCTAGAATCTTACCCCAGTTCTTGCCGTGAATATGGGGACCACTTGCTTTCTGCCGCAAACCCACTGGGGCCACCAGAGGTGGCGGCCCTGTGTCCTCCGTGGCCAGTGGTTCAGTTTCCCTTGGAAAGGTGTTCTTGGCGTCTGCTTTATTTTAAACTGTTGTTTGAGATTGGTATCTGGGATGACAGAGGTGGAGGCAGGGGAAGCCGAATCCTGAATACAGCTGCGCTTTCTCTGTTTAACGTCAATACACAGGGCCCCGTGCTTCCTCCTTCCCCTGCTCCAAACCCAGGCCTATGTTTTTTCAAAGCCTTTGGGGGCTGGAGGCAGCGCAGTGGCAGAGTGTTTGCCTCCTGTGCACAAGGCCGAGGGTTCAGCCTCCGGCACTGGGAGAGGATAAAAACAGAAAGCACATCCAGTTGTTCCTTCTTTTAGTTTTTCTTTGGGGCCTGTTAGTATCTAAATGTCCTCTGGTTATTTCACATGTCCGGGGTTTGTCCAGCTACGTGGGGAGCTCTCTGTGGGCAGGACCCCCTTCTCCGTGTCCCCCGTAACAGGGTGCTTTGCTGCCTTCGGAGGTGCTCTGGAACTGCTGGGGAGGTTCAGGGCAGAGTCGTATGTGGTTTGCTGGTGTGTCAGACAAGCTGGCATCATGGAAAATTCTTCAGAGTGTGCGGATCCATTTACACGGCCTCCGCCGCTCTGTGAGTTGCGCATTCCTCTGCACAATCCACCCATTCCCGCTTCCCCACCAAACCTCAGCCCTGCCCCGGGAGGTCAGCAAGGCGCTGCCCCCAGCTCTGTCTCCATCCTTCACTCAGTCTCTTCTGCTTTCTTTGGCCCGGTTTTACAGAGAATTTGACCACGTTCCAGGTTTTGTCAGGATGGGTCATCGTGGGGCTTTCCTTAGGTGATAGGACTTGAACCCCTGATGTACAGCTGGTAGAGCCCCGTGGGAAGGTTGTGTTGAAGGGTGGAGAGAAAGATGTGGCCTTTTTTGGACTTTCCAGCCGACTTCCCAGGAGGCTTCTCATCACCTGTCCCCAGGTGCTGGAGTCTCTGGGAGCCAGTAGCATGATTTTGAGTCACTCTGGAATATACGTCCAGTCCTCTGACCTGTCCCTGCCCGGGTAAATTGTTCAGCCCGGGGCGGAGACAACAAAGGAGCCAGGAGGGAAAGGAGGCTCAGGGATCCAACAGGGAGAGCAGATGAACAGAGTTCTTTCCTTACTGGCAAAGTAAGGCCAGTGGGTTCACCACCTGCTCTCAGAGGACAGGTCCTGGGGCCAGGTCCGTCCCAGGCTGGTGCTGGAAAGGGGACCTGGACTCTGCTGGTGGACATGGAGAGACCTCCCGTATGGCTCTATCTCATCTGATGCTGAGAAGCACAAGCGTAGGGCAGTGGTGCTCAGCACGTGGCCCGTGTGATGGCTTTAGTTCACCCCCTAGGCCCTTGTGAGCAGTAGCCCTTCCCAGACCTTCTGACTCACACCCTGAGGGTGGGGCCCGGCAGGCCGTGACAAGCTCTGTCCTCTGGTTCTGGCTCACGCTGGTAAGTTTAACTTCGGAGCCAGGTCGTTTGGGTTCAAACCCTTACCCAGCTGGGTGGCCCTGAGAGAGGTTAGGCAACCTCTCTCATCTGTACAATAGCAGGCATCACCTGCCACCTTGTTGTTGAGATGATCAAATGAAGATGCTTTTAAGGAGGCTGATACATGGACTGCCTCTGACCTTTGTCACCTCTCTCTCTTCAGGTGGTATCTGATGCAGCGGGACAGGGCGTGGCCATCACGGGGAACCAGACCTTCAACAACTGGAACTGGCCCAATGCGATGATTTTTGCAGCCACGGTCATCACCACCATTGGTAAGGGTGCCCACTTGCTTGCCCTCTCTCTCTCCCTGGCATCATGCAGGAATCCAGCTCTGGTGACTCAGCCTTGTTGGGGGTAAAATCCAGCGCTTAGTCCGTCTTTCTGATTGGTAAGGTTAGTACATCCGTGGTGACTGCCTTTGCTTCAAGTCCACTTCCATGGCCCCTGCCCTGGGCATGTGGGGCAGAAACAGCCCACAGCCCTGCGGCCCAAGTTGTGCAGATGGGATGGTTTGCTCACAGCACACACCTCGATTCTCTCTAGTGGCATAGTCACCGGTTCCAGAAGTGAGTGGCTCACGACATACACAGTTTGTTGTCTTCTGTGACACCTGGCATCCAGGACAGTGCAGTCAAGATGGTGGTGTTTGACCGCTGGTGTTGGCTGTTGGCCAGGCACTCTGGCCACCTTTGGACACTGCTTGGCACCGCGGTACTGCGGGGAGCGGGAGGAGGACCTGCTGGGGTGGAGCTGAAGGCTGCACCGTCATAACTGCTGCATAAATGGTGGTGTGATGGGGGAGCTATCATTATTTAAGTATTAATATTAGATCAGTGTCTGTTATCTTAATAGGTTTCTGTCAGGCTGGTGCAGGGAGGGACTCGTTTATGTGTGTGTGGTGGGGCGGGAGGGTCTATCACTCCTGCGTGGCTGGGTCCTCAGCCCCTCTTTCACCTTCCTCAGGTTATGGCAATGTGGCTCCCAAGACCCCGGCGGGCCGCCTGTTCTGCGTCTTCTATGGTCTCTTTGGGGTGCCGCTCTGCCTGACGTGGATCAGTGCCCTGGGCAAGTTCTTCGGGGGACGAGCCAAGAGGCTAGGCCAGTTTCTTACCAGGAGAGGCGTGAGCCTGGTATGTCCCCAACTGTAGGTGCTGGTCAGAGGTGGGGGGACAGGAAGACCTCAAGAACCGGACAAGGGTATTAGGGCAGGTCGTACTTTCCGTACCTCCTGGCCTGTTGGGTTGGGCTGGGAGCATCCTCCCTGCCTTCCACTGCTAGCTGCCTCCTGGCCTTCTGGATACCCTTGGCCAGGTTTCCAAGCTCTGCCACTGTGTGACTCGGTCTCCTGCCTCCCCACAGCGGAAGGCGCAGATCACATGCACAGCCATCTTTATCCTGTGGGGCGTCCTGGTTCATCTGGTGATCCCGCCCTTCGTGTTCATGGTGACCGAGGAGTGGGACTACATCGAGGGACTCTACTACTCCTTTATCACCATCTCCACCATCGGCTTCGGAGACTTTGTAGCCGGTGAGTCCCTGCTGCCTTTCCCTGGCTCTGCCTCCTCACCGTCTCCTGAACCCCAGGCCGGGCCAGTGGGAGGGAGCTGAGTGCAGAGGCTGCCCTGGGGGCCTCATTTTGAGGCCAAAGCTTTGCCCTTGCCACAGGCAGCCCCAGAAGACAAGGGCGTCCTTCTCCTCGGCTGCCCTGCCTCCCTGCCCTGCCCCTTCTCTTCCTCTTCCTTCACTTAATCCGAACCTCTGCTTTGTGTCCTGGGTTGTGCCCTGGCTTCTGACACGGAGGGCAGGGGAGGTCACCCCCATTGTGTGTGTGGTGTGCTGGGAGGGGCTGCTGAGGGGCGGGAGGAGCACACCACTGAGCCTGGCGAATCGAGACACAGTCCTGCCTTTCTGTCCTGTGGCGCAGCGCCTCAGCGCCTCAGCCCACAGCTGGCCGAGAAGCCTTTGTGTTGGGATCCTCAGCATCCTCTTCCCTCAGCTCCAGCAGGTTGCCGGGCTTCTGCCTCCATTTTTTCATCTGTAAAACTGGTGTAGAGAAGTACCCCCGTCTGGGATGATGGGGAATGATGCCAGTTTATACTGTGCCCGAGGTTGCCCTCTGAGCCGCAGTGACCCCTCCCCACCCCCCAGTGTCATCTCTAAGCTGGATGTCCTCTGACAGGGAGGCTGGATATAGATCAACATGGCTGTAAGGACAGTCACAGAAGGAATCTCAGATGGCCCTGGGCTAGAGGAGAACCACCAGATTGGGAGGTGGGGTGGGAGAAGAGAAGGCTCCTGAGGCAGATGTTGTAGAATGGGCAGAGCCAGTCCCAGGAAGGCAAGAACAGGAGGCCAGGGCAGCCCAGCCACCTCAGAGGAGGCAGAAGATAGCCCTGAATGTGTCCTGCTCACGTCAGACTTCCTTGGGTCATTGCGACCCAAGTCCTGGTCTCAGTCACAGTATACCCTAGAATGACAGCTGGTCACCAGTGGCCTGTCACGCAACTGCCGTCCTCCCCTAAGCGAGCTCTCTTGCACACACCCCAGCTGCCTGAAGAGTGACTGAAATGAGTGCGTACTCATCTCTCTTGCTCCTCCCTTGTCTCCCTCACCCCTCTCACTCTTGTGGGGATTAGAACCTACAGCCTTTGCACTGTGCTACACTCTCGGCCATTTCTGAACATTTTTATTTTGAGACAGGGCCTTGCTAGGTAGCCCAGGCTGGGCTCAGACTTGGAATTTTCCTGCATCAGCCTGCCAGAGTGCTGGGATTTCAGGTGCGGGCCATCATACCCAGCCTGGGCTGTTTCTTGATCATGTGTTTGTTGCTTTCCCATACCCTGGAAGCCTTTTGATTTTCTTTTTTGAGCTGATTGTGCAGCCCATGCTGGCTCCTGAGTGTGGAGATTGATGACAGGTCTCTGCCACCATGCGTGGTCACTTTCCTCAATTTTATAACTGAGGAAACTGAGGCCCAGAGATGGACTCAGCATGAGTGAGAGGCCATGGTTCTTTGGGAAGACAGTGGGGTGGGGATGGTCCAGGGCTGGGCTATGTTCTGGTCACTGCATGGGTCTGGGGCCCAGCTGGCCCCTGCTGACTCTGGGCCTCCTGTTCCCAGGTGTGAACCCCAGCGCTAACTACCATGCCCTGTACCGCTACTTCGTGGAGCTCTGGATCTACCTGGGGCTGGCCTGGCTGTCTCTCTTTGTCAACTGGAAGGTCAGCATGTTTGTGGAGGTGCACAAAGCCATTAAGAAGCGGCGGCGGCGGCGGAAGGAGTCCTTCGAGAGCTCCCCACACTCCCGGAAGGCCCTGCAGATGACTGGGAGTGCGACGTCCAAGGATGTCAACATCCTCAGCTTTCTGTCCAAAAAGGAGGAAACCTACAATGACCTCATCAAGCAGATCGGGAAGAAGGCAATGAAGACCAGCGGGGCTGGGGAGAGGGTCCCAGGCCCAGGTCCCCAGCTGGGCTCTCAGGGGAGTGGGCTGCCAGCAATCCCTGCATCCCTGGTGCCACTGGTGGTCTACTCCAAGAACCGGGTGCCCAGCTTGGAGGAGGTGTCCCAGACCCTCAGGAACAAAGGCCATGTGTCTAGGCCCCCTAGTGAGGAGGCTGGGGACCCCGAGGCTGAGTCCCCGACCTCTGAGGCCTTCAGCAACCAGCTGGACCGCATCAGCGAGGAGGGCGAGCCCTGGGAGGCCCTGGACTACCAGCCACTCATCTTCCAGAATGCCAACATCACCTTCGTGAGCGAGGAGGCCAGCCTCCTGGATGAAGAGACCTCCAAGTCCTCACTGGAGGACAACCTAGCAGGAGAAGAGCAGCCCCCACAGGGTGCCACAGCTCAGGCACCCCTGAACATGGGCGAGTTCCCCTCGTCGGATGAGTCCACCTTCACCAGCACCGAGTCGGAGCTGTCTGTGCCTTACGAGCAGCTCATGAATGAGTATAATAAGGCCAACAGCCCCAGGGGCACGTGAGACAAGGCCGGCTCCCCACCCCACTGGAGGTAGGGGCAGCCCTGGACTGGGAGTGGGTGGCCAAGGCCTTGTTGTCCTTCTGTCCCCTCCAGCCAGGTAGCCCCTGGCAGTGTGGAGGCTACTGTCCTGAGTGGGCTAGTGTCTCCGGTTGTGGAGGCACGTGTGCAGGGGGCCTGACCCCGCGAGGGCCTGCACCTGCGTGGCTCCTCAGCCTGTGCTCAGTGGCTGTCACACGGTTCTTGGAGGCCCGGGCCTTAGCTGAGCCCACCTGTGTTAGGAGCAGCTCTGTGGGGCTGGCACTAGCTGGACATTTCCAAGAGGGTATGAGGGGCCCACACATCCGGGTCTGCCTCAAGAGTTTTTGGGGTGACAGCTGTGATGCGCCTCAGTGCCCCAGCAGCAGGAAGACCAGCTCCCTGTCTACCTGCTGGTCTGTCCTTGTTCCCGGGCCCAATTAAGGACCTAGCTGCCCTCCGGTACCCCCACTTCTCCCCACCCTAGACCAACATGGAGGGACCACACTGCTCTTGGCTCCCAGATGGGCCATGGCCAAAAATGTGAATGGAGCTCTTGTCTCCAGCTGTGTGTGCGCACCGGCTGTGTGTGCGCGCGCGTGTGTGCGTGAGTGTGCGGAAGGAAAGCCTTAGGCTGGGGAGAAATGATAATGTGAAACCGGTTCCGGTGGGTGGAAGTGGTGGGTGGGGCTCGCTGCTTACTCCGTTCTCGGGTTTTCAGTGACGCTTACCTAGATCAGCTCACTTTGCCCTGAATGTTTTTGTTCTACTATTTTTTTTTTTTTCCCCTAATGAACTGCTGTTTTGATACCTGAATCTGTTGTTGGCTTTGGAGCCAGTAAAGATCAGGGTCTAGAGAATTGGGGTGCCTGGTTCAGCCCCCCAAATCAGCTGGCCCTCTCGTGCTGCCCTGAGCCAAGTCTATGATGTCAAGAGCTGCGACCTCACACGTGGTTCTGGAGGGGACCCTGAGGTTAGAGGTGGACAGAGGCACCCGGAGGCCAGGCCGGGCCCAGGCTCCCGCCCTCCAGCCTGGTGTCCTGCTGCCCCTCTATCCCAGTGTGCCCCCCAACCTGGGACCTGGTAGGGGACCTGTGTCCACACCCCTTCCCCTCATTCTCTAAGCGGTTGCCACAGGGTGGGAGAAGCCGCCGGAGTGTTCTGTGAGCGGTTCCGGTTCCGCAAGCTCCGCCGGCTGCCGGCTGTCCTGGAAGCACACACTGTATGTACATTCTGGCGATGATGGCAAATGTAATTTATTTTACCATTTTTGCAATAAAACGTGGACAGGCCAGCTTGGTGTCTGCTTTGTGCTGCTGGGGAATAGGCTGGTGTGGGGCCTCCGGGGAAGGAAGGAACTTAGGGAAGACCCACAAAGGGTGGGGGGACTCAGGACAGGCCAATGTAGAAGGGACAAGAAAGGCAGCCAGGGTTTGGGACAGGTCTGCCTTTTTGGGGGGGGACTCTGTCTCCAGGTAGGGTAGGTGGGCCAGAGGGCTCAGGGAACAACATTGTGAGCTTCGTGAGCTTGGAAACCCCTGGAACAAATCCCCCGTCCATCCCGAGACTGACTGTACCTGACGCTGCCCCCACCACAGCACTTTCCCTCCCTCTCTTAACCTCTTTGCTTCTAGCCCACATTCTCTGGTTTTACATAGCTCCATCCTCCGGAAGATAAAAGAACTCCACACACAGCATGGCCTTTATGCCTTCATGTCACATTGGACCTTTTGATGGAGTCCTTACTGGGGGTGCCGTTGCCCCCAGCTGAAGTCGTGCTGCATATCTCCACCCTGTGCACTCTTCACAGATTTCCCCCTCTAGCAGGAGAGAGCCGGGCCCTCTTGGCAGTAGAGGCAGGAGGCTTGACTTTGCAGAAGGCAACTCCTGGGTGATGAAGCAGACAGAAGTTCAACTGCACCCAGGTGGAGCACTGGGCAAACAAACAGTCTGGAGCTTTCTTGATGGTGCGAGGGAGGGGAGGCCCCAAGTTCCTGAGGTCCCGCTGCACTGCGTGGGAGGACCAGCTCCCCACGGCTTCCTCTCTGGGTGCCCTGGAGGCTTCCTCTCAGCTCTGCCCATAAGCGTGTGCTATTCCTGAAATAAGCTGCGCTATTCCGAACAGTGTGTGACTGTGGCCGTCTCCCTGATGTGCGGTTCTTCTGCCCGTGCTCCCCATGCCTTGGGTTCCCCAGTGGGCTCCACAGGTACCTGTTGAGGGAATGCATGGGGTCCCTTAGCTGGGCTTTCACCTCTAGCCCTGACCCCTCCCACCTGGCCAGGGCAGCAGCCTGCACGGTTTGCCCCGTGCTCACCTTTGCCCCCTCTCCACCCCCCGCAGCAGCTTGGGGTGCTGCAGTGGCCTTGGAGTCCACCCTCCTCTTGGGGGAGTCCCTAGAGGTGGCAAGGTGGCTTGCTCACCTCTGCACCCCCAGCCCAGCCCACATGGTGGAGGGCTCCGCTTTCCCCAGTTTGCTTAATGCAAGTCCCCGCCCTCTGCCACTCAGTCCTCTTTCTGGGACAGAGGCCAAGGCAGGGCCCAAGGCTTGTTCCGTGAGGGCGGGTCCCAGCAAAACCGGGTGGATGATCTTGAGGGACCTCGTGGCAGGCAGGCCAAGGTGGCTGGTGAGTCACTCATCCCGTGCCAAGTCACCTGAGTCTGAGGGCAGCATGGGCACACTGCACCCCTCGGCCTGGAGGACCATCCACACCCCACTCCTCCCTGTCTTCACCTCTCCCAGCTCTGGCTGGTCGGGAGCTGGGCCTTTCCTCTCTGCAGCTCCCAAACCTCTGCTTCCAGGGATGCCCGCTTGCGCGTGCACCTGTCCCCCATTCACAGAGCCCTTTCCCGCCTATTATCCCTTCGCCCCAGGAGCCAGGTGCAGTCACTGACAGCCCAACCAAAGGGCCTTTCTCAGTGAGCAAATCCAGGATCTTGCTTTGCTTTCCTGGGTCCACGATCAGAAGAAGGTGCAGAAAGGGAGGAGTCAGAGGCGGAGAAAGAAAAATAAAGGGCTTGAAGGATAGGGTCTCCTGTGTCTGTGAGTTCCTTTCACCTTGGGTGGTTAAAAATGGCTGGGGGGGGGGAATCGATCCCTTCCTTCCTGCCCCTGCCTGCCCAGCGATACCCACAATAAGACCACCCACTCCAGTCTTCATTGCAGAGTAGCTGGCTGCTGCCTCAATGGGAGGTGGAGTCCCCTCCCCCAATGTGGGCCAGCCCTGGGGCCATTTTGATTAGTGGATTAGGATGAAAGTGACCTGCCAACCCATGTGTGTTAGGAAGGCCCGGAAGTTTCCACTTCAGCGCTCTGGGGAGAGCCAGCCATAGGGTGAGAAAATGAAGTACCTTGAGACCCACCGTCTGAAGAAGCTCAGACTAGCCACACGGAGATGCTCAGCTGACAGTTGGCCCCGCTGAGCTGCCGTGTGGCACGTTCCAACCTCGTGGAGCAGAGAGACCAGCCATCTACAAACTGCAGAACAGTGAGCAAATAAATGACTGCTGCCACTGTAAGCCTGTGCTTTCGTCTGTTTTGTGTTGCTATCATAAAATGCCCGAGGCTGGGAAAGGCTCATTACTTCACATTTCTGGAGGCCACAGAACCTGGCTGGCATTGGCTTCCGTGAAAGCGCAAGGTGGAGAGCATCCCCAAGTAGATGAGGGTGGGAGGAGGGGCAAGACAGCAAGGTGTCATGTAAGCAAGAGAAAGCCGCTTGTGTGACTAACCCAGTCCCTTTGGACTGGCATTAATCCCTTCCAAAGTAGTTCCCCGAATGTCTCAATCACCTACCGCTAGGCGTGGTTCCCTAACCTGTAATGATACTGGCCAGATACTGACCATTCCATTAGGGATCAAGCCTCCCTCCAGCAAATGTCCCATTAGGGGACAAGTAGCCTATAAAGTTTGGGAGTGGTTTGTTACAAAGCAATAGATAACTGGACATTTGCCCTGAATTATATGACATGAAGGGCTCGGGAGAAAGATTTGAGGTTGAAACTCAGAGTGGCACCTGGGCACTGCATGTGGCGCTGTGTGGCACTATATGTGGCCCTGTGTAGTGGCACTCTACCACCGCTTTGGTGAAGTCCGAAGTGGGCCGAGGGGTGGAGACACCTGGCACAATAAGCAACAGAGTGGAGACCAAGTGTCACCGCGTCTTTAGCACTAACCAGGGGCTCCACTGCTGCTGCCAGACCTGTTTCGCGTGTCCACAGTGTCGAAGTCCCTTCTGTGGTGAGGCTTGAGTCCTCTCTGCTAGGTGTAAATGGTAGTGGGAGGTCAGGGGTCTGCTGTTCTCTAACCAACCGAACTGATCTTAATTACTGCGTCATCCGTGTGTGAGTTCAGGCTGACCGTGAACTCATAGTGATCCTTCTGCCTCAGCCTCCTGGGCTGGGATTATGGCTAGGCAGCACCATATCTGGCCAAACCAGGGTTCTTTATGTATAGCATTTCATTAATCCCTACAACACTGTAAGGTCAGTATGGTTCTCCTTTTTTCTTTTTTTTGGCGGAATGGGGGATTGAACTCAGGCCCTTATTCTTTTTTTTTTTTTTTTTTCAAAACTGGGGATTGAACTCAGACCCTTGTGCTTGCCAGGGAAGCGCTTATTCCACTGAGCCATCTCCCCAGCCCCAAAATTCTGAATAGATTTATTTTTATTTATTTATTTATTTGTGGTGCCAGGGATTGAACTCAGGACCTTGTGCTTGCCAGGTAGGCACTTATTCTACTGAGCTGTCTCTCCAGCCCTTGGTTCTCCTTGTTTGGAAATTGAGGTTGAGAGTGGTTACACAACTTGCTCAAGAGAGTGAGAGTGGTCATACAGTTAAGGGCAGAGCGCAGGCTCTAACCTTGGGAACCTGGAGTCTGTTAATGCGCTCCTGCTCAGGGCAAGAACGTCCAAGGATGGTGCCCAGAGACAGTGCCCAGGGATGGTTCCCTGGCTGCAGTGCCCAGCCATTCCCAGGCTGTCCGCCCTCATTGGCCAAACCAGCAAAGTGGTGCACATCTCAGGCCAGAAGTGACTCTTTGAGAACTGCTGGGGAAGCTCGGTGTGGTGGCGCACACCTGTGATCTCAGCACACGGGAGGCGGAGGCAGGATTGTTGCAAGTTCGAGACCAGCCTGGGTTACAAAGTGAGCTCAAGGCCAGCCTGAGCTGCATAGCGAGACCCTGTCTCAAAAGCACACGCACAAAAAGAACCTGGGGGGCCGGGGAGTTAGCTCAGTAGAATAAGTGCTTGCGTGGCAAGTGCAAGGGCCTGAGTTCAATCCCCAGTTCCGCAAAAAAAAAAAAAAAAAGAACCTGGGGATTCCTTGGATTTGCCTGCAGAAGATTCTGCTTCAGCAGGCTTGGGGGAAGCCGTGACACCCCCAGTTTCTGGGGACATCTGGCCAGAGAAAACAGACGTCAGACAGGCTCTGTGTCACCAGCATTCCCGGCCAAGCCATTCCTGCCCGTGTTTGTATTTGTCCTGAAAATCTGTGTTTACCTCGGGTTCTCAAAAACTTGCTCCTATTCTCCGATTCCTTCGCCTGCTTCCCAGGCGGCAGCTCCTTGGCTGCAACACCTGTGTTGAACTCACACATCGTTCCACACCGATCACCTGTGTTTACTGAGTCTCTTGAAGGTTGCTTAGAACCTGATGCTGGAGTTGGAGGAGGAAGAAAAACAAGGGACAGTGACCCCACTGGCTCTCCTCTCTTTGCTTCTCTGTCTGTTCAGATCCCCCTGATCAACAGTTTGGTTCACTCATGGCCAGGTTTCTGACCCAGAGGCCTAGAGATCACTTACACCACTCATGGAAGCTGATGCTTAACTTTCTAGAAATTTGCAAGCTGGTCATTACATCACAACTGCTCTTAAAATTTAAAATTATATAGCTGGGTGTGGTGGCACCTGCCTGTAACCTCAGCACTCAGGAGGCCGAGGCAGGAGGATCACTGCAGGTTCAAGGCCAGCCTCGTTTATGTAATGAGTTCAAAGCCAGCCTGGACTACACAGAAGGATCCTGCCTCAATAAGCAAAACAAATTAAATTATATAAATACACACACAGATCATCTTCAGGACAAAGGTTATGCATCCCCTAAATGCATCACTTCATAACTGTCTTCCAAGTTACGCGTCTGCATGCCTTTGAGGGTGGCTGTCTACCGCACGCACGTGGTGGCCGGTATCATACCGTGGCATGTGCCCTGCTCCTCTTTCTAGCTCCTGTCCTGTGCCATCATATTAGAAGCTCGAAATCAGCCATAGCAGGAGTTTCACAGCACGGAA